TTTGAGCTAATGGCTAACATCAGCATGCTAACATGCTCACAGTGACAATGTTAACATGCTGACAGTTAGCAGATGTAATGTTTGACATGTTTGGCATTTTAAGATGTTTAGCATACTAACATTTTCTTATTAGCATTAAACACAAAGTACAGCTGAGGCTGATGGGAATGACATTAGTTTTTTAAAGTAACTGAAAAATTAACATTTTGACCTAATGATGGCACTAGGTGAAATGTCAAGAGACCAAAATGAAATAATTCATCCTGAGGGGGGCTCATGAATGTCTGTACAAAATGTCATAGCAATCCATCTGATAGCTGTTGAAGGCCAAGGTGGTGGACTGACGGTCATTGTCATACCAGGAACCATGCTGCTTGCATGGCTAAAAACCCCCTGATTTAAAAAAACTGCATCAACACATTTTATTTTCACTCTTTGTTCTCATTCTTCTCACCACCTGTCCTCCAGCCCCACGAGGAGGATTACTCAAAAAAGTCCTGTCATATTCAACATGGGTAGTATTTAGTTTCTAAAGCAGCCACAGGCAGAAGTGAGAACAAAAGTGTGTCTGAAGAGTACAGCAATCTGACACACCAGTAACCTTGTAACACACAAGAATTGAAGAAAGATTATTTGTTGTTGCTACCAGTCTGTATTTATACTGAGTAAATCCCTAATTTTAAGAATCCCCTCCAGAAATGTTTTAAGACATATATGAAAGTACTCTGCGTTGAATAATAATAATCTGGTAAGAATTTTCCACAAAAAGTTCAATTAACTAGTTACAGTTAAAATAAATTATGTCTGTTTTTCTATGGTGACCAGGTGCAGGCCTACATTATCAGCTCTCTGAAAAAGGAGATGCCCAGTGTGTTTGGAAAGGACTCCAAGAAGAAGGAGCTGATAGCCAACCTGGGAGAGATTTACCATAAGATCGAGAAGGAGCACCAAATCTCACCTGGAGACTTTCCCAACCTGGCCAAGATGCAGGTGAGATAAGGATAAATCCAGACGTACTATCCAGAGATACAGATCTGATGAAGTAACAACTTCGACTCTATTTTTGTCATGTTGTATAAAGTGTTTGGTTCAGAGTAGAATGACCTTCTAACCTTTACTCTCTTCACATCTTTGCCCTTCTTTCCTGTCCTTGCCCTCCTGGATGGGCCAGGACGGGGATGAGATTTATTTTTCCTGGTTTGTCAGGAAATCCTGCTTCTTGTATGCTAGTCCTGTTGGTAGCTACTGAAGACTGATCTATTTCTATCACCAATTCCTGTTTTCTCTCAACCCCCCCCCCCCCCCATCCCTTCAGGAGCTGCTGAATGGCCAAGACTTCTCCAAGTTCGCCGTGCTGAAGCCCAAACTGCTGGAGGCGGTGGAAGACATGCTAGCCAACGATATCGCCCGTCTTATGGCCATGGTTCGCCAGGAAGAGGCTGCCATGCCTAGCCAGACCGTGAAGGGTGGAGCCTTTGAGGGAACCATGAGTGGTCCCTTTGGTCATGGCTATGGAGAGGGTGCCAGCGAAGGCATTGATGAGCTGGAGTGGGTGGTGGGTCGCGACAAGCCTACGTATGATGAGATCTTCTACACCCTCTCTCCCATCAACGGCAAAGTGTCTGGTGCTGCAGCCAAGAAGGAGATGCTGAAGTCCAAGCTGCCCAACACGGTGCTGGGAAAGATCTGGAAGCTGGCTGACGTGGATAAAGACGGCCTCCTCGATGACGAAGAGTTCGCCCTCGCCAACCACCTCATCAAGGTGAAACTGGAGGGCCACGAGCTGCCGCCCACGCTGCCTGATCACCTGGTGCCCCCGTCCAAACGTGGGATAGTCCAGCAGGATTAGAGGAGAGGGTAGCAGCCTAGAGATGTCAGCGCTTTGAATCATGTTTAGGACTCTCCAGACAAAAAAGTCCAACGAAAAGCATGAACAGCATCATCCTCCATCAAGCTGTGAATCTCCAGGCTTCCTGACGCACCGTGAGGAGGTGTTACTGTGATCTTTTCCACCAGAGAGAGACTGGAGGGATTCTGGGGGGGAAGTGGGAGGGAGGGTAGGTCCATCTTTGTGCATTAGGGAATAATGTTCAGGTATCTATTAGAAATAAATGTGAGGGGGGGTTGATTTACCACCTGATGAAAGGACATTACTGGATGGATTACATGATCTGATGCGTAGCTGGAGGTTGCATGATGGGGCTGAACATGGATTTGTGAATCCTGTGTAAAAGATGTCTTATAAGCATACGGTCCATATTATTATATGTTGATCCAAAGAAATATAGTTTTTTTCCATTTGGAGAGAGAAAGAGGAAATAAATCAAAACAGCTGTTAGAATTGTTTTATCTATATTTTTGTATTTCCTGACTGTTAACTTTGACTCTTTCCAAATGCTTGCCTTTTTATTATTTTGCCAGATAAATAAAAAGGAGTACTGTACCGTCCGACTCGTGGTTATGTGGATTTTTATTGAGTCTTTCTATGGTACATAACTTTGGTTTGATTTTAGCAGATGTTTGACTGATGGGAAAAAGCCTCTAATTAAAATCTGGGGAAACCTAACTAAAATAAATTATGTTTGCACAATAAATCTGAACTGAATCATAGTTTTGTGTTTTTTTATTTGTATTAATTTGTTATTGATGTTCAGGCCAAGGACTATGTCACTCAGAGGTCATCCATAGACTGACTTTTATTTTGAAATGCACTCATTTTGATAGTTGTGATGTGGTCTACTGCCCCCTGTGGTCCAGAAAGACTAACCAGATGCCTCAGGAGGACATAAAAGGCCATTTATCCATGAAACAAGTCGCTTCTGACTGCATATATTTAGTGCAAATTGAGAACAGTGGTGTCGGCAGACACTCGTCACATGGAGACAATTTACAAAGCTAAAAATTCAGTCCAGGTTCAGGGAGATGAGCACAAATCAAAAACAGAAAGACCACAATCTCTCACATGTGAGACTTATTTTTGAATCTGAATAGAGATGAAGTTGGCTGTTTATAACTCCTTTGAATTCACCTCATAAACCTGCGTTATTATTGTTCATCATATTATTCACCATTATTATTATAACCTGGACAAGTTTGAATCTGCTCAGGTCTGTTTGCATAATTCAAACAGGATGTAGGAATAAGAAACTGAAATGTAAATCAGATGCACTGCAACCTTTGAGAGTAAATTTAAGGAAAATATGTTTTTCCCATGTGAGCCTTGTTTTTAATGGGAACAGCAATCAGGTGATTGATGCAAGGCCAAGAATTACATCAGCATATTCCCATATTAAATCTTCCACTGCATGTCTGGTCAAGTGTGTTTACATATTTCCGCACTTCCACATCTATCATCCTCGACTTGGAACAATCAGCTGGTTGTTTGGAATTTGTGTGACCGTGGCATCACAGCTGAGCGCACCAGACTGCCTCTCAACATCTCAGTGTTTCGTTTCATTTTCATGTTCCACTCAGAGTCATGTTTTTCTCCCTCATCAGCATACTCATTGGTATTCTGCTCACTGACTCACTACATTATCAGTCAGCCTGATCTCACCTCATTATCTCCACAGCAGCAGGACATTTCATGTTTGATAAAGTCCAGAGGCGCTCTCTTGTGTCTCGATAAGTTACTACAGTTATTGTGCTTGGATATAGACTCATATTAGGGCCAATTCTAACACTATGTATGGTGGTGTTCTTTGTCCTCTGCTGCAGCTACAGTACAGGGCTACTGCTCAGTGAACATTGTGACTCATGGTGCATTGATCATATTTAACCCCTAGATAATAATGTCAAATCTATGTCACAGATCTACACCAACCTAAGAGATGTGAGCATTTTCTCCCCTTCTTCACTATTTACATAACCTTGAGGAAATAACCACAGACTGCAACAATGATTAAAATCCAGTGATGAACATATACAGTGTTGTGTTGCTCTGATAAAACCATTGCGTCATGTATTATATGATTTGATACAAATGTTTTGATTCAAGGCCCAAATTAGGATTAAAGCATTTTCTGTCACAGAAACTGAGCTGAAGTGGCTGTACAATAATAAGAAAGCACTGAAGTGAACCTCCCTCAGAAAACTTTTTGTTCGGTCAACAGATAATTTACAGCTGGTAGAAGCTTCGGGCTTCCTCTTGTTCTGTTGATGATAATATATTGACAGACAGCTGCTGGAATGGCCACAGTGGTGTGAAGTGAGAGGCGGCATGACTGCATGTCCCTGTGTTTCTGTACACTGTGTGTTTAGATAGCTGTTGCCCTCCTCCACTGTATATCTCTGCTTTACATTGTTTCCTTTTTCCTGTCTTCCTCTGTTAGGACGTCACTATATTCCCCATGTCTCTTTTCCCCTCTTCCTTCCTTTTCCTTCCACTGTTTATGAAGAGCAGCTTCTCCCTGTTTTTCTTCTTCTGTTTCTTTGTTTTCTTTGTTCTGTATTCCCATCACTCCCCTGACTCTTTCTTTCACCCCTTATCTCAGTGTTTTGGGTCACATTTGTCCCTTAGATGTCTAAAAATAACCCCCCCGCACCAACCCTCTGACACACTGACCCCTGCAGATAGTTGACTGGGTCGGGCTTATATAACACTGTCATGTGGAGGGAGTGCCTCTTCTCAGAGGCAGGTGAGGAATGAGGCACCTGTATGTGTGAGTACAACACATATGAGAACACAAGTACACAGGGAATTGACTGGATTTCAATTGAACATACTCACGACCTCAGCCGCAGCAGATCGTCCTCTAATAAAAAGCCCAGAAAGGTTATTAAATAAGGCCTGGTTTTGATGTTTTAACTCTCCATGAAGCTGTTTGAAGTGTTTCTTAGTGGTTCTGGATTTCAAGCACTGAAAGGGGGAACAAGGAACAACAGAAGCTACTGTAAACACAGTTCACAATGTCTCATATTGTTGACATTTTAGCACAAAGTCTCCCATAAAAAAATTGAAGTAAACAACACACAAAGTCAATAAATTAAAACGACAAGAATTCATTCATTTTCTTTTAATACTGACAGCTGGATACAGAACACATCAGAGCAGCAACAACAGCCTCAAAAGTCCCTGTAATGATCCACGAGAGTCCAGAGCACAATTTCACATTTTCAAGGGATGATGAGGATGATGAGGCAATCAGAGAAAAGAGAGGAGGAAGGGGAGATAAGTGCTAAGAAGGAGTCTGATTACCAGCAAGACTCCGCTTTTGTAGAGTGGAGGAGAGGGTGGTGGAGGTGGTGGTGGTTCCACTGGACTGATTTTACCCTGAACTGGCAGTGCAGTTATGTGAAAACTGGTTTGTCTGCACTGAAGCTCAAAGCTTCTGAGGTTACTGAAGGACAAATATGAGAATGTTTGTCATGTAAAGGGGGAAAAAAAAACATCACAATTTTAATATTTTCTCTGAAATTTTTGGAGTAACGGAGAATGATTGCAATGCTCAGTCCATTGCATAGTCATGATTGTTTTTTTTTTTACATAAAAAAATCAAACAAGTTTCTGTGTTGACTTCTACTTCTTCTCCCAAAATCTCTTAACAGAAATCATTAAATGAGCCAATCAAATAATCAATCAGTCTAAAACGTCTTCCTCAGGGGGAGTTTTGTCCACATATGTCCGGTTTTGGCTAGTTGAGGTTCCAATGCAATCACAAGATGGACATAGTGATTTGCTGTGTTTAAAAGTCTACAGGGGTTCATGAGGTAGTCTGAGATGCAGTTTGGGGTTAAAAAAAACTGGACGAAACAGTCTCGCCTTGGCTCAGTTAGTCCTTTTTTTTTCCAGTTTGGTTGTGTGGTGTCACCACCATTGGTCCGGGTTCAGTTCATTTTATCTGTTTCTGGCTCAGCAGGGTGGCCCAGCTGCTGGCTGAGGTGCTCCGAACATCTCCTGTGAGGCGTAGGTGATGTAGAGGAAGCCATCAGTGTCACTGTGGCGGGAATAAACCTCCCCCATGCTGGAGGACATGCAGGACATGCTCTTCTCTGCCACCAGGAGGAACAGGGCCTGGGTAGAGTCCAGGGCGATCTTATTCCTGAGAGGAAGAGAGAGGGAGAGGTGGGTGAATGATGGAAAACAACAGAGATTTTTTAAGACAGAAAAGTGTGTGTAAGGGAGGCAGAGAACAATGGCAAATCTGACAGTTTGGGGGAGAAAATGTGGGAGAGGGAGATTTGAAATCAGAAGAAAAGCGTTAGAAACATCAGACACAAGCTGGATGAGAAGTGAGTAATAACCATTAGAAAAGTCTGACCCAGTAACAGATCATTTACCTGAGCAGGCAGAGGAACTGACCCAAGGTGAGCTCGAAGGGAACCAGGAACTTTGTTTTGTCCAACAGGGGGAGAGTCTTTTCACGGATGTAACGTTCAACAATCACCTGGGCACAAAAACACATGTGTGATCAGCTGACGGTGCAATCATACCCAGCAAAAAGAAAAAAGCATAAGACATTACATTTATAAAATAACAGAATTTAAACAAACTCACAGGCAACTTGTTGGGGAATTTAGACCGAATGCTGCACACTTCATCTTTTCTTGTTTCTAAAGGGAAATATTTATACACATTTTGCACTTTGTTAATGCAACTAGATGCACCAGTTAAAGAGTAATCAAAGAATCAACTGAAGATGTGACTCACCGAGGCATTTCCTCTGCTTGAAGGGCATCATCTCCATGGATTTCTCAAAAGGAGCCATGTTGGTTTGTTTGTTGCTTGGGGCGGTTTGCAGAGACAAGTGGTGATGGAGGCGTGTGTGGCTGGTAGCACCGGCGTGGTGGTCTTTCCCGGGCTGACGGTGACGTCCCCTCGGGTGGAAGTAAGCAAACCCCACTGAGAAGCTGTGACCGGTGGTGTTTTATAGGAGGCAGAGCTGGGAGGAGTCGAAATGTGACACCAACAAACAAAGACACACTCCTTGTCCTGGTGGGCAGCGTGCGGATGCAAGGATGCATCAGTGTGTGTATGTGTGTGTGTGTCTGTGTGTGTGTGTGTGTGTGTGTGTGTGTGTGTGTATGCTCTTGCCCCCCCTCATTGGTTCAGAGCAGATTCACACGTACTGGTTATCTCACAGAGCATTCTCACATCTGCTTGTGATATTGGTGCTGCTGTCACGTACACATTCACACAGAGGGGTACAAACATGAAGAGAAGAGTGTAATGAGGGCAGCCCACCATGTGAAGAGAATAAACAACACATGACATTAACGATTCAGACACACAGGGACTCCAGAGGAACCTTTAAACATGGCCGGTGCCGCCTTTATGATAAGATTTGATAGCACTGAATTCAACCTTTTGTTAATGTCCGATCTTAGACCTCACTATCTGATAACCACGCTGGCCTAATGGTCATGTCGTCACCATATCCACCATGTTTCTTACAGGTACTGTGTCTCCAGACTGTAGCAAATGGGATGTGAATATATTTCTGTTTTTCTTCTATGCAGTTTCTTCCTGCTATTATATTATTTACTGACTCCTTTTTCACACATTTACTGCATTTAAGAAAAGGTTTCGTGGCACTGAACCGTACAGAGCACCACCCAGTGAGAATTGGTGGGAATAGTAAAATGAATGATGTCTGGATTTGATTTAGCTGCTTCAGGTATTGCTTATGCTGCCTCACTGTCATGTCTTACTGGGACACTTGAATAGAGCAGAGCCAATGTTAATGTTATTGGAAACGTGTGCTTTTCCTACTATGGACTTGTGAAAACAGCCTATAGTCGCCATCTTCATCAGCAGATGGAGTTTGCTCACTTGTCATGTCAAATTTCCATTTTTTTCTGAGCACTTTAGGGACTTGCAGCCAGATAGGAACAGCGTAAATGCCATCTGCTTGAGGAGAACACTTTTATTTAGTTTTTGTTGTGACTGTTTTAGAGAGGCTGCTGATTCTGCTTTTCATTCCAGGGGCTGCGGTTTGTGGTGGCATCTCTGCTCCTTCAAGAGGTACTATACAGTCTGTTTGTATTTTGGGACCCTCCAGCCTGTAGAGGCACAGCAGGGGACAGAAGCTGTGTTGCAGGTGAAGATCACCCTCTGCTGGTTGAAAGTTGGCACCGATGTGCACTGTACCTGTCAAGGCTGAGAAACAGAATACAGAAGTATTCCAACATCAGTCATGTTTCATTTTCCTCTAGCTGCTTCTCCGTGAATGAGTCTTGCTGATAAAAATGTAATTATCTTGTTTTTCTCCAACAGAAGGATGTATACTCCTTTGGTTTTTAAAACTTGTGACATTGGACATTTTTATATTCAAGAGGAACCATTTGAATCATTTTCCAACCATGTTTGAGCATAAGGCTTTCAGGATAAATGCAATGCCATCAAACTTATAACCACAAAAACAACAAAGGATCCAGGTAAGAATGCATTAGATTTACATTAGTGTAAAAATAATCTGAGTGTTATTATTGAGCATGGCTGGAGCTCAAGGGCAAAAATTTGCTGTTGGCTATTGACCCTCAAATCCTGCAATGTGTGTGTACTGTCACCTCCAAGTTGCCATCAAAGCCTAGTGCACACAACAGACTATACATGGTAGCCTCATTAATTGCAAGAGTCCATGCATGAAGGATATTATAGTCATATCACATATAAAAATTTTGTATTACAAGTCTTGTATTCAAAATATTATGAGATAAGCGAAGGCATCAAAAGTAGAAGCACTCAGTGAACCCTGTCAGTGTTATATTTTTATATAATTTGTTACATCGATGAAAGTATTTAACAGCTTTTTAATGTTGTAGCTCCTTGAGGTAGATGGAATTCAATTCTGTTTGTTCTGTTTGGTAGTTGACTCAGCAGCTAATCATATGTTATAAATTGATGATACTATAATTGATATATAAATGTTTTAAATAGGTGTTTTCACTTATGTTGCTTGATTGAACCTCTTCCAATTATTTCGGTTTTTGAAATTAGTTTGATCGACATCTCACTCAGCCATTAGTTGATTTTGCGTTACCTTTAAGGGGCGGGGTAATTCAATTAAAGCCAGCCAGAGAGATTGAAAACACCTGTGGGTGAGCGGAGCCTTTATTTTGCAAAGTAAACGTAACTGGTAAATGAATAGTGGAGAGTGGAGAGAGTAGGTTACAATAGTTTCCTCTGAAGTCTAAGCAGAAGTTTAAGGCAGCATAAAATGGAAATAGCCTACTCTAATAAAGTGCAAGGGGCTCTAAGCTTTGCACTCGGTTACATTCCTCCACTGACTATGGGAACGGGTTAAGAATGGGAGTATTTGTCCTCTGGCATGATGCTCACTGAAGTTGGACAGTCGTGGGATTTTTCCGTGCGTCCGTTCGAAAAACTTCCCTGACCAATCTCTGTGCAGGTCTGCTGCAGTGGCTCCTCCTCTCCGCTGCCTGCTCCCACATGTAACGTTATCACCCTCTGCCTGTCTGTTGCATTGTCTCATTGGGGACGCTGCGTACGGAGCCCAGCACCATGGTAACTCCACCGGACCGGGAAGCTTAGAAGTGACATAAAGAGAAAGGACAATGTCAGTAGGAAATCAAGCCTGGATTAATATGAGGCATGGCTCGCTGATGATCCTCCAGGCTACCAGTGGATTCATTAATTCTAGTCTTGTGCCAGTCAGCAGGGCTGCCTGAAACTGTAGGCTGCATGGCACGTTACAGATGGTGAGGAATATATTTGCCTTAATGTCGCGTTGATTCAAGTGGCTACTATGTTGCTATCGCTCGTCCGGACCTGTGTTGCTGTACCTGGAGCTGGCCCCTAAGCCACTCATTCCTCTCAACCAGTGCACGGTAACTGAGCGGCGGTCAGCGTTGCGCCCTCGTTCCGCCTTGCCGGCACCTCGACGAGGATGGCCGGCCGCCGCAGCTGCGTGAACTCACTCTGGTCGGGCACCGAGCGCGTCCGCATCGGCGAGCGCCTCAAAGCGACGCTGGCCGGGGTGCTGGAGCTGGAGCTGCTCAGGTGCAAACACCTGCAGATGGTGGACGCCGCTCTGGAGGACCGAGCCTCCGCTGCCGCCAAAGCCGAGGAGCCACGGGCGGAGGAGGGGAGCGGAACCCCGGAGAGCGCCGCCTCGGATGCCGAGCATGGCTCTGCGACATCCCGCAGGCAACAGGTCAGTCAGTGCGTCTGTCAGCTCATAGCCCGGATCTCTACATGACGAGATTATTAAATATGGATGCGGGGATGATGGTGATCTGCCAACAAGCCAGTCCCTCTGCGGCTCAGTAGACAGATTTTATCTCTGCCTGGCGGCGCATGGCTATGCTGAGGGCTGAATACCCAATTGATTGAGATGGTGCCAGAGACCGTCCGAGCATGCAGCCCGATCATTATACACAGCAGCAGTGTGTGACCGTCACATGGAGCAAATGTCATTGAGGTCAGGGCACCAGGACCAGCTCCTGTCTGGCTGGCCCTGTGCCCTGCCTCAAGGTTATAAAGGAGGATGTGGTGGGATACAGGCGCTAAAATCAAGTGTAGGTATTAATACACAAGCCAGCAACCAGACACTGCTGCATTGTTTGGCTGTTGCCGGTAAGCTCATCAGCTGTAAAGGTCACTTTGGCACCCTGTTTGCATTCAAATCACCCTGATCACAATATGAAGGTAGACTCCATCAATGTCTGTCATCTTGTCCCAAGCCAAAAAAAAGTGCTTTTTTTTAATCCTGAAATCCTGAATGCTCCAGTTGTGTGTGTGTGTGTGTGTGTGTGTGTGTGTGTGTGTGTGTGTGTGTGTGAGTGAGAGTGACATGTACTCAGAAAGGGTTAGGTTGTGTGATCTCGGGATCATCTTCACCCACACAGAAAAAGAAATAAACCCATTTCCCAACCTTTTCTTGAAATGGATACGCAGGTCGTTTTGTGATGGGAATGTGGGTTGACATGTAATACAGGATGTGAATAGGTCCCATACTGAGGGCTGGTTACAGAGGCTGTAGTTGGTCTGGTCCATTATTCCTGAGCATGAACTAAATCTGAACCTGTGAGGTCATCAAGCTGTAAAATCTATTGAACACAGCAGCAAAAACCCAGCAGGATCTTACTGGGAAAAATGGGAGAAATTGAATTAAGACTAAAATGGGCACTGGCAAGAAAATACTGAACCATGAAAGTGATAGGGAATATTAGGGCTGAACTGATTGATTGATTAATTAATTAGATGATCAGCAGAATAATCAACTAGCCTATTTTGATAATCAAGTGGCCTTTCTTTAAGTCATTTCTAACAAAAACGCCAAATATTCTCTAGTTCCAACATCTGAAATATGAAGATTTGCAGCTTTCTTTGTCTTGTGTGGAAGTACACTAAATATCTTTAGGTTCTTGATTGTTTGTCTAACAAAACCTCACATCCAAAGATGTCATCTTGGGCTTTTCAGAATAAAGTGATGGACACTTTTTTTTACCAATTAGTTGAAAACTGAGGGAATACCACAGCCTCTTTACATACGGCACCAACTTAAAGAAAATAACGGCACCTTTCATCTGAAAGACCAAGCCGTGTGTGTGTGTCGTTTTCTAAAAAATCAGTCTATCATGGATTGTCTCAGGATCATTCACAGATTTGACAAACCAGTTAAATGACAGATCTGTGTTGTGGTGAGTGAATTTTTCACCAACTATTTTGATAATTGCTTAATAATTTAAGAAATTCTTAAAGCAAAACTACCAGACCATCCCTAGCTACAACTTCTCAAAAGTGAGGATTTTCTGCTTTGCTTTGTCTTTTGTGACGGTAAACTGATATATATTTTGGTTTTGGAGTATAGGTTGAAGAAGACATCACCTTGAATGAAATGATCCTGTATATTTTCAGCAGTAAAGTCACTGTAAGAC